CAGAAATTGCAGAAACATGGTGTAGGGATATATTTTTGATGGAAAAATCCGCAGAACTAGTGACATTCATGGGCATGTGAGTACATCTAAGCAACTACAGTACAACAAAATGAAGAGGAAATGTGTGATGGGGTCAAGTCTACTTGTCCACCAGAAATAATCTTGGACAGGAAGTAAGAATAACCCTTGTGCGGCAAAGTTGGGATATTATTTCAAAATGTTGTGCTTGTGAGCACAGAAAATTTTTAAAAGAATTCAATTTTTGAACCAAGCCCCATAAGTCAGGGAAAATACCAAAATTTGAATGAAAAATAACTGGGGTGCGTGTCTTACAGTGCTTTGGTGCAAGGTTTTGTGAGAAGATTTTACTGTATACAAGTGGAGTCTCTCCTTACAAAGAAACGCAAGGGACCAGAAATTATTTATTGTAGAGAGGATTTCACTATAGAATCCCCTAAAACATGATGCATTAACCCTGTGGGAACACAAAAAAATAGTAATACTGCAAAGTACAGAGAACATTGAAAGGAAGTGAAAGAACAAATGGGCAAATGAACCCTTGCCTCCAACTTCAACACCTGCTGTGTTTTGCATCTGCGTGCTTTTCTTAATTATGGGATATTGTGGCACAAGCATGCAGTCCAATGAGTAATTATATTTTATGCTATATAACAATTTTATAGTCAATGTGTGTAATGACTCACTTCCCCTGATGTGTTTGAACTCTGTTTTGCAAGCTGGTTGAAGCTGCCTTTCTGTAGCTGCACAGTCCCACTGTTCTCCACCTCTGTCACAATTCTTCACTCCGAAGCAAGCATAACACTGGAAGGGCTTTGGCTTCTGGTGCTTTTTATGGTTGTGATGGGAACCTTTTTTTTAAGTTTATCACAATAATTAGGACAAATCACAAATGAAACATATATTTGAATTTGGACCTTGCTAATAAAGTCAAAACTTTGCACAGTGATTTGAATTTAAAGTTAATCCATGGCTAATTCCCCTCAAGTCCAATTTACTGTAAACCTCCCAATAACTTGAAACTTTTCTTAGCCAAAAATCCCTCAATTGTACAGTATATATTCAAGGCCTATTCTAAAATTGGGCTAGGTTTTCATAACACTTGTTCCAAAAACATTAAAGATTAATCTATGTATTATCTTCACACTCAAGAAGGGATCATAGGTACATTAAAGCTGGTAGTTCATTATTAAGTTATATAATTTGGCCAGAATATTATTTTCCATTAATTTAACCAAAACTCCTGAATAAAACTTCTCAGCTTAATTTAAAGTTTAACATAGAGGTTGAAATGTACCTGCAGATCAGCCAAAATAAAAAATTCAAATTCTGATGAAAAATAAATAATAAAAACCTAATGAAAGTTGTGGAGTTACCTTCAGCTTGTAGAGCCAGAGCAAAAAGTGCCAAAATCAGAGTACTGAACGAAGCAAGGTCCTTCATGTTTCTTCACCAAACATTTACCGAAAAAGAGAACTTTCTTCAACTTTTAATCCTCATTGCGTTCCAGCCCTCCAGCAGTATGGAAATTTTGTGCCAAGTGATTCAGAGAATTTTGAAAAAAAAAGAACCTACAAATATATACGGACTAAATCTTCGAAATACTGAATCGGTTAATTTTAAAGGAGTAATCAGGGTTAACCTAATCAGATTGAGCAATTTTTTTTCTTGGACGATTGAAGGTCTTTTCAATCAAGTTAATTATTTCTTCCAGCTTGTAAAATGATGAAACTTTCGCCAGTCTCCCTCAATATATGAATTCCTTAAAAATCACATAAATATATTGTATAGCAAATACATACAGAGCTCGAAAGAAAATGAATAAACAATTTAGAAATAAATTTTCATGCATCCTCGTATTCTCCTTCGTAGTCTTCAGCTTTCTGGTCATCCTTGTCTCCCAGAGTAATTTCCCCTGGACAAGGTTTCAGACATTCGTCAGCACACGCCAGACATTTGTAAAAGGCTGAAACTGCCAAATAACCCAGGAAACCCAGGGTCATTCCTGCATAGCCCACCATTCTTGCAATTGCGAATCCTTCCAGTTCCTGTGTACGTCAAGATGAGAATTGTCAAATTCCATCAAAAAATAATCCCATGTTACTTCTAAATAAAATGTTTTATGTTCACTTCTTTAATATGTCAGAAGTTTGCAAGAGGGCTAAAGTATTTCCAGCAGCAGTGAACATCATTATCAAAGGTCCCAAGAAACTATTTTTTCTGATACCCTCAAAAAACTTTACATAACAGTGAATGGAATGGACTCATCTATACTCTACAACAATCTTGTCAACAATAATTTTCTCTGAGTAATGATATTTTTGGTGATCCATCCAATAGGGTTCCATCCTATGTTGTAAGGGTGTAGTTCTCTAGCCAAAATTCTTTTCAACAAATTTTTGTGTGATCCCTTTAGAGAGGGAGAGAGAGTACACATCTGAACACTCCTCTGTTTTGGTCATTTGATTTCTTTATGAGAAATAAACTCAATGAAATTATTGGGCTATCACCAGCAAATGTGATGATACCAATGCAATGATGAAACCTTGCATTGTTGATCTTTTAGATTCCCTTGGCTCACAATGTTCTGCATCCCCTTTCAATATCACAGTGTATGTTGATTTATATTTTCTCAAGTACTGTACAGGCGCTGATGCCCCACAATTTGACCCTAATCTGTACCTGGACTATAGGGTTGAATTTTGGTACTTTCCTGTTATCTCAGTACCTCATTCCTAGACCACAATAACATCCAGACAAATCTTTAGGACAAGTTCATAATCAGTACCTACTTTCCTGTATCTCTGTACCTTCCCTCAGACCAATTTAACCTGACCTAACCTAACTTCACCTAACTGCCTCCCAATATCAGTTTCAGCACAATGCGGAAAAATAAAATTCACAGTTTCTGGTAGGTTGTCGTGATTATGAACTTGTCCTAAAGATTTGTCTGGATGTTATTGTGGTCTAGGAATGAGGTACTGAGATAACAGGAAAGTACCTTAATTTCAAGGTACCACCTGCATTTAAGTACAGTATGATAAGTAGCCACTTCTTTAAAATGTCATAATTTTCAATGTTCATGTTCTTGAGAAAATTTGAAGGTATGACGGAAAAATAAACTTGAATTCACCTGAGGTAAAGATTGAAGATCAGGATCCATTGCAGGAGGAGGACCAGGCCTTCCACTGAGTCTGCCATCATTGCACAAATCCCAGTCACAAAAGCAACAATCCTTGGGAAAAGTGCTGTATGGAAACTTGTTTGTCAGAGATAGAGGGCAGCCTTCACAGCCAAAAAACTCATGCTTCATGCAGCCCTTTGCCAAGACTTTTGTTGGATCTGATCAAAAAATCAAAAAGACCTATTAAATCCCATGACATTATCAAAGGTACATTCAATAAAATACAGACTAATTTTTAGCACCTGATTTCAATGAGGAAATCTTTTAATATGGACATAAGATTTCAAGTAAAATTTATGAAATGAAGTGTAAAAATTATTTGTGCATGCTGGATCACAATTAACATGGTCGCTGCTGGTGAATGAAGGCAATAATTCATGAGTATAACTAGCTCAGATCAGTCATGCTTGAAATATCCCAATTCATAAGACCACAGAAAACATCTGCCATACTTTCTTTCAACTGCAATAAAAAGCAGGGATTCAGATGAGTACAGTATACACACAGTATTTAGAGTACAGTATATAGAGTACAGTATACACACAGTATATAGAGTACAGTATGCACACAGTATATAGAGTACAGTACTGTACAGATAGGATTTCAGACTCTTATTTTGCATTTTGATGGAATATATGCATTTTTCTTCATTATTGTTAACTTAAAAAAAACATTTTCGATATTCTCACACAAAAACCTTATCCAAGTTTCTCAAAGCACGTAATTTTTACTCACTATGTTCAAAAGAGCGTTTTAACATGAAAAAATAATTATAGTTGATTAAAAAATTTATCTAAAAAACCAAGTTTTCAAACAGCAAAAAATAACCTTAAACGTGGTGCGCATCTATTTCATTTGTATTTCACTTCTTCCCAACAATCTCCATGCGCACCACATTTAAGGTTATTTTTTGCTTTTTGAAAACGTGGTTTTTTAGATTAATTTTTTAATCTACTATAATTATTTTNCTGCAGATAGCCAGAGTTGGTCTGTTATTGAAGTGTTTATACATAAAACTTCAATCTATATAATTATTTCTCATAGCACAGAATTTTCAAGTCAGTGACGTTTCAATGAGTGTGTTTCAGCATCCGAAACTCGAAGATCGGTCATCTAGATGTCGCCTCCTATCAATCTCGGCTGTGCTGGTCGCGCAGCACGAGTCATGAAATCATACGAGTCATGAGGTCATGACGAACATGCAAGGAGTTGATCGAGGAACAGTTGGAATATCGGAATGCAGTACAGTACCACAATTAGAGCGGAAACAACATATTTATGTCCTGCCTCTCCTCAGCAGAAAGTCGGAAAGCGGACGAGGAAGGATTAAAAGGGAATGGCGGGATAATTAAACCAGCCACGGGACTATAGGGATGAAAAGGAAACAAGTAAAGGCACTAATATTATCGATGCTGGACACGATGATGCCCATAATCCAGCAGCTATTGAGCTGCTGAACTTGATGCCCTCGGCGTTGCAGCCGTCAAAGTCGCAATAACAGCAGAGCTTGGGCAGCTTCTCGGGCCCATTGTTGCCAGTGGGGAAGTGCTTCATGAGACTCTGTGGGCAATTCACGCACCCGGGCGACAAGTAGGTCATACATCCCTTGGCCACCACATTGCCAGCTGAAACGAGACCGAGAAATCCACGTGGCATATCAAGTTTTCAGGTTTTTTTTCTTTTTCTTTTTCAAGCTGAGTTGAGCGCAATGTTGTTAAAGTCGCCCGGGTATAGCTGAATTCCCCCACAGAGCCGCCATGTGAAGCAAAAATGAATTATTCACATATGGAAACATTAATTACAGAAGTTTTGCCTACAATTTGATGAAGCAACATCTTGACAAGGGGAAAGGGATCAGCATATACAGGTGAAAAAAATGCAATGGATAAGGAAAAAATTACATTGTATACAAAATTTTGTTGTACATAGACCAGCAGTGTTCTGTTTTATTCTGGAATAATGTCGCAATATATAAAGTTTTCTCTTGTTCTGCTTTGAAAAAATTTTGGTCAAATTGTTATATTGTATACAGATTCTAGGGAATGCATGTACTGTATATGATTTTTTTACATTATTTTCATCCTGAACTTTTCACGAGCACAATTGCAAGAGGAAATTAACTGGAAAAGCTCTCTCGTACCCATCATTATTTAGTCCATATGAAGCACTGATTAGAAGCTAAATAGCTATTAAAAAAAAAGAAGAAGAAAAAAACAAACCTCTGCGGAAATCCTCGTAGGCTGTGAAGCACATGGTGTTGGCAGCACAAGTCATAGGCTGACCATTCACCCGGTAACAGATTCGCATCGAGTCATCGTTCCCTGCAATCAACAATTCAAAACATAATTTATTTAACGTACACCATTAAAGGGGGAAATGAATTGAGGAAACGCCAATACATCAATTTTGTGACAGACCAAGTATAAAATTCTTAGATTAATCTAAAAGAGAAAAGTGCATGTATTTACAAAAAATGTCTCCTCTTATCAATACAGGTGGTACCTTGCAATTCAACCATCCCACAATTTGACGTTCAAATTTGCTGGGAGGTCAACTCTTAATTTGACCTGTGCTGCGCAATTTGACCTGCAAAGAGACTTGAAACATCAAATGCCATGTAGAAAGCAGCATGCCATTTGATGTTGTTTTGCAATTTGACTGTAATTTGCTTTGTAATTTGACCCTAGTCCAGCAACAGATTAGGGTTGAATTGATAGGTAACACCTGTATATGCGTTGTATTTACAAAATTCATACACTGAACTCTGGTATATAGCAGTACTTTTTGTCTAGCTAAATAAATATTAAATGCATGTGATATATCTGGTACTCGAAACGAAAAAAGGCTTTGGGTGTTTTAAAGCATGGCTGCTTTCTAGCTATACATCACAGTTTCCAAAGTTTGAGTCATATCTAAAAGTTTCATTTATATTCATAGCTTAATATTTGTGACTATAAAAGTTGAAACGGAGTGCATTTTGTTAAAAAATTGAATACTCCACTCATTTTATTGACACCGCAATTTTTTTTTTAATTTAAGGAGACGCGTGTTTTCATCTGGAAGTTTGAAAGTGCTATACTGTAAAATAAGACGCCTGATAAAAAATAAAATAGGTATCCGAAAGCAACACCATGTCAGTTAATTGCTCGTTCAATTTAATCGAATATTTTTAACAATCCTCATTTATCGCATAATTTCAGATTCTAAAATTGATTCCAACTCCTGTTTTTACTCGAAATTTGGAAAAATGCGAGCACATGCTTCCTGTCGCGAATTTTCGGAGGCATTTCTGCAGAACCAAGCATATCGAATTTAATCACCAGCCTCGAGCTGGCGGAAAGTAATTTTTCATGTCACTCTTCTCAATGTTCAAACTTAATCTTCAAAGAGAAAACGCCAAACGGCGCCTTTAGAATCTAAAACTCATAAACAGAGACGAGTTTTGGCAATTTGCCGAAACTCGTCCTTGGATCCTTCCGTATTTTCTTACTTACTTTAGAGGGTTTACGTGTATTACGCATTTTACTCCGATTTAATCCGATAAGTCGCTTATCGATTATTCCCCGCGTGAAATTGGAAGTTCTTAGTCTCCGTTCAGCGAGGTGAGTGTCAAATTTATCTGCACGATGAAATATATTGAGATTTCGACACCTTTTTCCTCAAATCTAAACGTTTTCAACAGTAACTGTAAGCGCTTATTTAATAGCTGAAATTCACTAGAGCTATGCAGTGATTCATGGCCTATAATACTGCAGAGGTTGTCATTTCAGTTTTATATGATACTGCAGTTAAGCCAATAAGTTATGTATCCCCTAAAAAGCTGATTCAGCCTGAACTTGCTGGTTTATTGCTGGATTTTACTTTTTTTTAATAGAATACTGTATTAAATTGGATGGTAGGCTTTTCTAAGTTTCAATAAGGCACTAAAATTCTACCCATGTCACTAAAGTTTAAATAACTGGTTATATACCATTAAACTCACCCTGTTCACCCAAAAATCCAATTTCACTTTTCCTGTGATTGATGGTAGTGGTTAATGTTCCAGTTAATGCTTGTATGGTGGCAGCCAGCTTTTTTTCCATCCCAGGGCAAAGTTGGACTTATTCCCCTTCGGGCCTAAATTTTAATTTTTTCTCTAGGTTATGCCATCCCTACCATAGCAGGGGAGAAAGGGCAAAGTCAGATTATGTCCAGGGTTTAAGAAATTCAGGGAAAATTCTTGAGTCAGATTTTTCTGTAGTGACCTCTGACATAGGCTCCAGGCTTTCAAGCTTAAATATAATGGGGGAACAGCACAAGGCAAGGGGAAAATAGTGAGTCTTGAAAATATAATTTTTTTTATTTTTGAGTAAATTTTTTCTAACGAAAATACCCGGATTTTCCCTGAATTTTGCCCAGCATTTAAAATTCCATTCTTGAGTGCACACAAAATGTGCCAAAAAAAGTTCCAACTTGGGCACAGAAGGGTTCCTGTTTTTGGCCTTCACTTGACTAATAATCTAGTGTGCTGTTTGCCCCTCTCCCTTCGCTGCATATCTATCCCATCAACCTGTTCATCTGTATCTAAACCTATCATCTAAAGATGAAATACTATATTTCATAGTATCTCCTGTTTATTATATTCATGGTCCAGTAATGTGCAGTAGTATTGTTCAACCTTGGGGTCAGGAAATCAGAGCATAGGTGTGTCCTCTTCTGGATTTCCCCTTTTCAAATTTAAATGGAACATTTCCATTTAAATGCTCAGAACCATTCTAGAGTCTGAATGGTCAACTAAGGATTAGGACTATTAGTAAAAGACTTAGTTTGTGTTTCTTGTCAGTCCTTTATTTTGATTTTAAACCTGTTGCCCTTTTTTTTACTCATTAATCTTTATTTGATTGATGTAATTATTCTGTACAAAAAATTATGTCCTTTCTTATCCTGTAATTCTTCCATCCATAAANAGTTTCTGGTGCGATAAAAAGTGTGCTGTACTGAAGGAAAATTTTATTATTTTGCTACTTAGAAAATTTGACACCCAGAAAAATAACTAAATATAATATTAATGGGGTAAACAACAAATTGACGATGATTTTTTTCGCTCGACGAGTTTCTGGTGCGATCAAAAGTGTGCTGTACTCCAGGAAAATTTTATTATTTTGCTACTTGAAGAATTTGACACCCAGAAAAATAACTAAATAGAATATTAATGGGGTAAACAACAAATTGATGATTTTTTTCGCTCGACGAGTTTCTGGTGCGATAAAAAGTGTGCTGTAATCCAGGAAAATTTTATTATTTTGTTGCTTAGAAAATTTGACACCCAGAAAAATAACTAAATAGAATATTAATGGGGTAAACAACAAATTGACAATGATATTTTTTCGCTCGACGAGTTTCTGGTGCGATAAGAAGTGTGCTGTACTCGGGGAAAATTTTATTATTTTGCTACTTGAAAGAATAAATGTAAGAATCTTGTTACGAAGAATATTCGATCACAACGAAGTCAGTTTTTCGAGTCCCTGCCCAGCAATAGCCATGTTAAAACAGGTTATTTCACAACTAATTTTTCGTTACAACAAAGCTATTTTCCTGCTTGTGGTCCCATCAACTTCGACTTCGTTGTAACGCGATTTTTGCTGTATTTGTCACAGCCCGAGATGCGTTCAAGGCATCAAGCTGGAGTGGGAAACCGAGTGCCCCGTGAAAAACTCTCAAATGTGGAACCCATGGTCTGAAATGCCGGAAGTGCTGCTCATGTCGCATCCCTTGCTTCTCTACCCGCCACCGGAAGTCGAGGACTTTGAAGGGGAAGGACCCCCACCGGAACTGGAAATGGAGCGCTTCAACGTCGTGGATTTTGCGCAAAAGGTTTTGCAAGCCCTGGAAGCTGCGCCGGATCGCGAGGACAAAGTGCGACTGTGCAAAAGCCCCATTTGCATTCGCACTTATGCCGGCATCTTTTCAATCATCTTCAATGCCAACGAAATGGGCTATTTCAAGTCCAGAGTTGGCACACTAGCCTTTTAATCCTGCGCTGTCTCCATTTTTTTTTGGTTGAGAGGAAGTATAATATTTGAAGCGAATGATTTGCCGCATGTAATGATTTTAAGTGCCACTGTGAATTATTTGTACTTGATCTACCTGCATAAGATACAGTCAACCCCTGCCCAATGGACTTGATTTAGTCTGTTATGTGAAGTCTGCTAAGCGAATTCAATTATTATAGTTTAAAATTTTTAAAAATTAATTAATTTTAAACCAACAGAAGTCTGTTGGGTGGATTTTGTCCATTATAGGCAGTAGAAAAACTGCCTCAATATAGGCATAACATACCTCAGGCAAAAGGTCTGTTAGGCGGGGGTTGACTGATAATCCTTTGTAAAGACCATAAAGAAATTAATTTTGAACCTTTTTTTTCTGGAATTCAGGATACTAAAAAATTTAGCCCAAATATATTAATGCCTCAATATATGGAAACATGTTATAAATTTTTTCCTAAAGCAGTTCTGAGGTTGGTATGTTCTAATTATTACATTTGCCATGGTTTAATTGGAAAATTTTAATTAGGTATTTGGCATAGGTTTAACTGGGACAAGTCCAACAGCTTCATAACTTATTTTATGCTTGTTTTTCCCTATTTCCCCCAGAATCTATCAAAATTTATAAATCTTAACAAAATTGTTCCAGCTAATTTATTGAAAATTTAATCCAAATGGTAAATTCTTTTTTACAGCTGGGTTTTGAAATTCCAATGGAAAGATAATCAGATTACTGTACCAAAATTACTAAATGATTTTTGTTACTAAAAACGTTTTTGGTGGGACTTTATACGCAAGGAAAAAAATATTACTTGCTGGTTCATCTCCTGAATGGGCAAATTTGTTGAAATTACAGTAATTGAAATATGCATTTTCATCTGAAATTCCTGGGAGTTCAATGTTAGAAAAATGCATAAGTGAATGTGTAGCTAGTGTGTGACATATTTTTTTTCCTTGATGGTTACAATGCTTTGTAAATTAGTTAACTAAAATCTTCCATTTTGAAAAGCAATTCATGTCAATATTAATTTGCTAAGGTTCTATAAACAAGACCAATGCATGTTATCTTTGAAGGTTGCCCACACATACATATGGGTGAGAACTGATGGAAGTCATTTTCTAATTAAATGTGATTTTAGCATTAATCTTTGTTTAGTTTATTAATCAGTAATAAAAATGGCATATTTACCCCCTCCAGAAGAATACGCAGCTGGTTCTGAAGGAACTTATGATTACATGAAGATGGAAATGAGCAGTTGTTTTGACCCTGACTTGATGGACGTATGGGTTCTAACAGAGTATGTTTAACATCCCTTGAAATCATAAGGAAGAACAGTTCAGCTCAACTTGAGTCATTCATTGCACTGTTGGTTTTTTTTTAGCTTCATATAAAATGAGTTGACATCTTCAATGTTTTTCTCTCCCCACAATCAATTTTTTTCTTCAAGAAATTTTCCAGTGACTTACAGCATTTAAATGTGTCCCATAGGTTATCTCATTGGGATCATGAGTGGGAGAGATGCGTGGTGCTAAGTGAGGACTACCTTTACTTGGCCCAGTATGACTTCACTAACAGAAGTGTAAAGTGCCTGAGAAAAACTATCAAGCTTAGCAATGTCAAGGACATCACTATTGGAACCATGTGCTATCCTGAGTTCACTCTTTCTCCGTGAGTATCATGATAATCTTTTTTTTTGCTGTTTTACCCCGGTTAATGGACTGCATATCAATTCCCTGAGACCAAAAAAAATTCGTTTTACAATGAGTACTTCTGTAGATTGAATATTAATCAAGATCAAGGACATCACTATTGGAACCATTTGCTGTATAATTTTCCCGAATTCACCCTTTCACCATGGGAATAATATATTTTTTTGTAGCGTACCTCGGTTGATGGACTATTGATTCTACACCATGCAGTAATACAAACATTTTATTCTGAAAAATTCGATGAAAAATTAATCCACGGATGAGAGAATTAATGTATTCAAAATACTGTACCTCATTCCATGCGTGCATAAACCAATCTTCTGGAAATTCATTTAGTACAGTAATATATCCTGTACAGTGAACTGAAGCCATTGTAAACGGAATGGTTAATTCGATCCGGACCCCCAAAAAGTCACTCTCATATACTACTGTATTTATAAAAATATTGAAGGATGCACGTGTTTAAAATACAATATAAAATAGGAGCGGAAGGCACAAAGAAAAAAAAAGCTATGACTTATCGTGGCACGAATTTATATACGTATTTTTTCATCGAAATATGATGCACACCACAGTAAGTTTTTTTTTTTTTTTTTTTTGGAGAACACCTTTATACTCTTCTTCAGGCCTGATGCATAAAATGACGGAGAACAGTGAATCCAGTAGCATGGGCATGGTCCATTATCCGAAGCAAAATACCAGAGTTTAACGCGGAAAAGAAAAATATTCCATGCATAGCTTTCTATTCATACGAGCGGCATTTAAAAAAAATTTAAAGTACAGTTCACAGAGTACAGTCATTAAATTTCGTGTCTCTATGTGTAGGAGACGGTGTAATTTAGGCATCAGAATCAATTGGGGCGACAAGTGCGACCCCTGTGCCAAAGTTTACTGGAACCCAGCGTCGGAAAAAGTCCCATATGTTGTCCTGATGTCGCATCCTTTGAGTCTGTACAGAAGTGAGTACAAAAATACACAGAAACGGCAATTTTTTCTTCAATTTTTTCAGAGATGAGAGTATGAGGCACATATTCTGTGGCTGCATTGAAAAATTAGTAATAGACGATTTCCTTTGAGAAAAATCTGTTGTGATTCGAATTGAATAACAATACAGCATAACAATATTGTATGATGAAGCATTTTAACAAGAACAAAGAACATGAAAGAAAATAGACGCACAATTTCATGACTGTATAACATACAGTCAATTTTCTGTTGTCACAAAAACATATGCAGAACAGGTGGTACCTTGAAATTTGACATCCAGCAATTCAACCATCCCACAATTTGATTTTCAACTTTTGCAGGGACATCAACTTACAAATTGACCTCTTGCCCCTCAATTCAACCTGCAGAGAGACTCAAGATGTCTAATTTGTTGTAGAAAACATTGAATTTTATATTGTCTCACAATTCAACTGCTTTGCAATTCAACCCTTACCTGGCAAAATTTCTGTGTCAAATTGCAGGGCACCACCTGTCCTGCATACAGTAGAATCTTATCACAATGAAGTATTATTTGGAGCCTTAAAAAGCTTCATTAATAGAAACAAAATTTGCTATAATGAAATTAAAATAAAAACGCGACTACAGCTATTGCATTTGGGCAGAGAGCAGAAAACAAATTAATTTCAAGCCATAATTTTTCATAGCACAATTTTACTGTGCAGTCAGACCTCATAAACTCAAACCTTCCCCAGTCAAATACCCTCCATAACTCAACTTTTTTTTAACACAAGGAAGGACAGGAAATTACAATTGTAAAGCATTTGGGAAGGAAGAAAAGTAACTTTGATCAGTTCACAAAAGGTTTTGAGCATTGAGGGTATAGACTCATTTAAACTTCAGTTTCCTATGGGCCTTTTTTTTTAGCAGTATAAATAAATAAGATAATGCTTTCATATATGCACTTAACACATAGCATTTGCAGTAACAATGACTGCCCCAAACACTCCTTTAAAATTTACAGGAAGCTATTTCATACCTATTTTTTCTATTGCAAGTTTTTGTTGGTCCTTTCAAATTTGACTCAGAGAGATCCAATTGTATATACAAGGGGGGGGGGGGGTTCTCTCAATGACACATTTTTCTGGTCCATTGAATGTTGTTATAGAGAGTTTCTATACCTGCTGTATATTTTGCAGAACTGCCAAATGGCACAAAAGGTCGCCATTTCAGCATATTCGACTTCGCAAAGACATTCCTGCCTCTCATCAAAGTCAGCGGGCTGTACAACATTCCGGTTTACAGCGCCCCCATTTGCATGGAAACCTACTTGGGACTGGGATCCATTCTCTACAATGCCCACGAATGGGGCTATGACAAACAGCGCAAGGGCTACGTGGGCATGTGGAAATGTGATCCATTGATCCCTGATGATGATGATGAACAGGAAGCATTGATGGATGATGAAGTGGTGGATCGTTCGCCGCCAAGGCGGTGCAGTAGAGACGACTCGCCGCCATTTATCACAGAGCCCGAGACTGTGGAACTTCTCACAGCTTGTGATAGGACCAAGTGTTGAAATTGTCATGGTTTATTCAATGAAAGCATGAAGAAATCAATTAAGGGAACAATAAGTAAAAGGTTCCATCTGATGACTCTTGGACCAGTTTTTATTTTTTGGAATTACAGTGAGACCCTGAGATGCGGACGTAATTGGTGCATCAAGAGTGTCCCTAAGTTGAGTCTAATTTTTCCTTACACTTACATTATATAATTTCAATTGGTGTTTTATGTACAAAATACTCACCATGATTCCATGAAAATAAAAATTGTCTTCCAATTTAAACTGATTGCAATCAATATATTTCAACACAATATGGACATTTGGGGAATTTAATACTGATGCCTCTGTACAGTACATAGAAATGTTAGCTGTAAAAATAATATTCATCTGAAAAAGAGAGAAAAAAGTCCCTCTCTGCTGTAGATATTTTTTTTAATTAGCTAAATAGATGGTAAATTGATGAGAGAAATGCCCAAGAACTTTTCTTACATCAATCTTAGGGTTGGAAATATCTGTTTCTTGTAATTTGGCCTGAAGTGTACGTGCAATTTCATAACAAAATGTCCCTATGTCCAGTCAGTGTCCTCATGTAATGCCTTTTTTATCAAATTTTTATGAGAAAATAAGTGTCCCTATGTCAAATTGTCAGCAGGTCAAGGTGTCTGCATGTGGGGGTCTCACTGTATATATGAGAAGGGAGTATAATTGAAAGCTTTTGGATTTTCCTTGAATGGTGTTGGGGAATGACACGCACGTGCATGCCAAATAATATTGAAATTAAATTATTAAAAACTATGAAAAACCAAACAGCACAATAGAACCACCTCACAAAGAATAACCACTTTCTCAAGGAAAACGCCACCACCTTAAAAACAATGTAAACCAAACCTGATTTCTGCTGCTCCCAAAATTTTCCAAATTTACCAAAGAACAAATGCATTTGTAATCAAACTGTTGGCTTGTGAACAACTACAAAATTTATGAAATACTGTTTGTGGAAAAGTTCTGTTGAGTTGTTGTGTTATCAAAAAATCTCTTTTGTGTGTCAAAACTTTGTGGGACAAATTTTGAAATATATTCATTCAATTTAAACTAGGAAATCCAAAAAAGGATTCCCGGCCTTGTCCCAGGCTGATTCTGCTTTTTATTTCCTAAATTCAAACCTTTTCTAACTTTATCCATTAATTTCTGATCCACTAGCAAATATTACAAATTTATGCTAAGGTAAGTTATTCCTTAACAAATGGCATTGCAGTTGATACACCCAGGCGCAACAAACTTTAATTTGTGCAACAGCACTATTAATTGCAGCAATATTCTGGTGCAGAAAATGATCTCATTGATTGTTATTAATTTCGTATCTCAATTCCTTCTTCATTCTAATTGATTTTGCAAAATTCTGTCAGTATGCTGGATGCTGAATTCCTCTGATTGTTTCCGGTTCAAAGTCTGGAATCTGAAACTTTGCGTATATAACGCGTTCCTATTTGCAGGATGAGCAATTCCGGCCTGGCATTGAAATGGCGAAAGTTTTCCAATGACCTTCAAAGTCATTTCAAACGCAAGCTCCGAACCTTATGCTGTTGATTTCAACGTCATTTCATCATCGGTCATTGTATCGAAGCGAAATTGGTGCATCAAAAGTTGAAAGTACATTTCGCCAGTATCAATGTCTAATTAATACAGTAAAGTAACTTTAAACGAACAAATAGTTGAAACATGAAAACTGACGAGAGTTCAATAAATACTTTCTCACATGAAATGGCAGTGATGCCTCGGATAATGGACGTCTCCCATTATATTTATTTTTTGTGAACCAGGTACTGAACCTTGATTTTGACAGAAAAACTCACTGAAAAGGGATTTTCCGTCAAAATAAATTTAATTTAATATATGGCCTCAAACTGAAATGGTTTGAGTCCATTGTAAGAGTCAAAACCACAGTAAAGGTAAAGTATTTTACTAGGAGTTATTTTCCAAAAAAATTACTCGGAATAAGAAATTAATTCAGTAATCTTGAGCTGGGAGTATCTTCAAATTTTAAAAATATCGTACTTTCTCTTCAAACCATCTCTTTTTCGCCTGAAAATTTTAGGATTCATTGTAATTATTCAGGTGTTTAAAACCCCGAAAATTC